GACCTGCCACTTGGGGGTTGACAACCTGATCACTTCACTAGGTTGCCACACCCCAGATCATAATTTTAATTATTATAAATTTAATAATTTATATATAAAAATTAATATTTACAATAAGAACAAAATTTTTTTAGATTTAGAAATATATAAAATTTTAGAAAGTTTAAAAATTATTTAATAGTAAACTCTAATATTATACAATCTTTAAACTTTAATAAATTAAAAGTTTTTTAATAAAGTTTATAAAATAGGTTTTTAAAAATATTTTTTACTTAAAAAGTATATTGCTAAAATTAATTTAGTTAAATTTAAGATTTTAATATTTTGACAAAAAATAATATCATATCAAAATATATATAAACACTTAATTATCTAAATAGTTGACTAAATAAGATATTTCAACTAACAATATTAATTAGATAATTTTGTTACTTGATTGTATTGTATCAAAAAGGCTGCAATTCTGTAATAATAGTTATAAAAAATCAATAATCTGTATTAGTTTTATATAATTTAAATTAAATAATAAAATAATTTTGTAAAATATATATAAAAATGCTTTTACTTACTATAATTGAATAAAAATCAATAATTATTATCAAATTGTAATAATAATAATAATAATAATAATAATCATTTTAACTAAAAACTATTTTAATTTCTATTTGTTTTTCAGAATATTTTTTTAATTTGAATACTAAATAAATAAAAAAATCTATTAGACAAAAAGCTTAACTCAAAGTAAAAACTATTTAAGTTTTACTTACTTTTTAGTGTTTTATATACTTAAACTTCTTTAATAGTAAGTTTACTTAATATAACTAAAAATATTATTACTTTAGGATTAGAATCTTTAATCTACTTTTAATGCAAACTTAATTTAAATAATTATTAAATATTTATTTATTGTTATTATATTTAAAAAAAATATTTCCTTAATACCAAAAAAAAAAAAAAAAAAAAAAAAAATATTTGATTATAGTATAATTGTTCAAAACTAGAGGACTTTTAAATTCTATGCACAGTAATACAAAAGTTATTTTTTATATTAAAACATCAACAATGTAATTCTGAATTTTCTGTTTATCCAATCACATGATTTGCACTATAAAAGATATAAGAAAAGCTACAAACACAGCCATATAACACAGCTAATGACTAGCACTAACCCTAACAACACAGCATGACCAGTACTATCGTTAAGGTTAGTATAAGAATATGGCAGAATTAAGAGATTAGATCACGTGTTGCTGCGTCTGTAGCATTTCTCAAAAATATTGATATGATTTGCTCAAATTTATTCTATTCTTTGGCTTAGAAATTACATCGGTTTGTATAAATAGTAATAGTAATAAATAATAGAATCCTTACTTCTAAGTGAAGTTCTTGAGAATGTTGATTATTTTTAATTATTTTGCACAATAAATTTAAGCATTCTTTCGAAGCTAAAAATGGTCTTTATGGTGATATTTTATCAGTGAAACTACATTCTCAATAAGTACTCTAAACTGTATAAATAAGTTAACCGGGCAATTGAATGTTCTCCTATGAGTGCACAACCAAATTAGATCAATTTTAATTTGAAATAAGTTGATCAACCTGCATAATAATACATGTGTCACTTTTCCCAAAAGAATACTATGCCTAAAAAGTATGAAATTCATATCAAACCCGAAAAGATGGGCCTTTTACCTTCTCCAACATGGGGCACCTTAACAAGTCTCGCATTATCTTATATACTTGTTCTCTGTGTTATTCTTATAGTAGAAATTACCTCGAGAAGTTTTAATATCCCCCATTACATTTCCCGTAAGATAGTCCATGTGTTTGCGGGAACTTATATCTTTTGTTTGTTATATATATTTGAACAATGGGAATACGTAGTGTTTTTGACTAGTTCTTTTGTTCTAGTAAATTTCATTTTGTTACAACTTAAAATATTTAAATCGATTGGTAAGAATTTTATTAATTTTTGCTGTAAAAGATTACAAGTAGGGCAAATGTTTTATTGCGGTTTGTGAAATTTGATTAAAAAAAAAAGTAATCACTAATTTCCTTCTTTTTTTTTTTGACTCTTAGACTAGGCAGAATTTGCGCATTTATCTTTTGTAAAAAATTTGATTAAATATTTTAATGCGCAACACCTATTTCTGCAAATATATTACAAAATGATGAATATGCAACTTTTATTTCTATAAAATTTTTACAAAATAATAGATGTGCAAATTTTGTCTAATTTAAAAGTCAAAAAAAAAAAAGATTTTCTGTCGCGAACCGCAATGATTAAAATCATGTTTGATTTATTGCTGATTTCCGATTTCTTCTTGACTTTTAGACTAGACAAAATTTGCGCATTTATCATTTGTAAAAATTTGATTGAATATTTTAATGCGCAACTCCTATTTCTGCAAATATATTACAAAATGATGAATATGCAACAAAATAATAGATGCGCAAATTTTGTCCAATCTAAATTAAAAAAAAAAAATGTTGCAAACCGCAATAAATCCGTTTTAATTCATTATGATTCGATTGCGTAATTATAATGATATACACCGTCTTCTTTCAAAAAAAATTTTTCTCAGCTGGCAACTAAAATTAATTGTCGCGGCTGATGCTCATGCTGAAATTTGGACCTATTTTTGATATGAATTTCTAAAATTTTTTAGTTTTTTTCCCCGCTTTTTTTTTATGGTTTAGTGTTTAGGGTTAGAATTGGTAATTAAAGAGTATATGTGGATTCAGGGACACGGAATTTATGTGATTTGGGTTCGTTGAGAGCTACCAGTTACATAAAAATTAATATGTAATAATTAGAATTATGCGGTTTTGTGTAGTTTGTCAAGAATCGCACTAAAACAAATCGCATAATTTCCGTGTCCCTGTGTGGATTTTAGCAGTAATATTTTCAAATCACGACCCCAAATTTCAGCATCAGCCGCGACATTAATTAATCGGGAGCAATATTTTCAGACTTCGATGTTTTAAAACAATGAAAAATGTTTTAAAAACTGTTTAAGCCGTTTTTTTACCATCCCTAATTAAAAGTGCACGAATATTAATGATTTATTAATAGATCAAGAAAATGCGACACCAGGAACTGTATATTTTGCTTTTTCGGTTACTCTCTTACTATGGTGGTTTCATGAAGGTTGGGAACAAGGATTTCCTAGAGGTCGCGAATATATTGCAGTTGGTAAGTAACTTATCAAAATTGAATTCTTATCATGAATATTCTGTTATTCTGAATCAAAATGTGAAAATTCAAGCTGGAATTGTTGCGATGACATATGGCGACGCAATGGCTAGTGTTATTGGAAAGACGTACGGAAGAAATGGTTATCAATTAATTGGAACTGAAGGAAGCCGTCGTACATATGAAGGATCACAAGCATTTTTTATTACGACTCTAATAGCGATTCCATTTTTTTGGTGGTTAATGTCTCCTCTGGAATTAACTACTATGGAGTATGTTACAGGAGCACTGATTTCTGCATGTGTTGGTACTGCATTAGAATCTGTGAGTCCGTGGGGAATGGATAATCTTTCGGTTCCACTTGGTGTGAGTCTTGTATTAGCAATTTTAGGATATTAGTTATTCTACAACTTTATACTTTGCGTATATTTTTTCATTATTATCAGTCATTGTAATAGACAATGCGTCAAACATTTTATTTGGAAATAAATATGTATTGTTAATTCTTTTTACTTTTAAGGATAAAATTGGTCATGCTAGAGATTGGATTTGAACCTTTAATATTCGAATAATTCGATTTAATTTTAGATTCGCATAAAAATCACGTGAAAAATGATGCACTATACGTTCTAATCGTTATAAAACTGTTCTAACAATTTAACCATTATAAAACTGTTCTAATCATCTAAACGTTATAAAATTGGTTTAACGGTTTAGCCCTTATAAACCTTTTATTAACAGGCATAAGACATCTCTTTATAAAAGCACAAAATATTGTTTATAATAAAAATTATAGTAAAAATTATTATAAGATTTGAGTTAAAGTTCTTCTTCAACTTAACTAAGTAACTTGAAGAAAAATTTAGCTTAAAAACTAAGTTAAAAATTTATTAATTTTGTCTGTTTTAAAGATGTAACTTCTTCAAAAATAATGACTTTTCGACTTTAAAATAATTATTATATATAATATTATGTGCTAAACAGTTTTACTTAAAAGGCAAAAGTAGGTTGTCTTAGCATAAAAATAAGTTATATATATATATATAATTTTTTTTTTTTTTTTTTTATAAGCAGTCACGCTAGTACTTTATTGAGTTTTTAAAATTACATTTGTGACTACATATATATTTCTAATATCTAAGTCTAGCATCACTTGGTCATCTTAATGGTACCTAAGTGCAACCTGTCACATTACTTTGAGCAAAAGTAAGCTACTTGTCTAACTACTTAAAGTTCATAATAAAAAGGTCTTTTTTTTTTCATGACAAGCCTCAAAATTGTCTTCATTACTTCTTTTTCAACTTGTTTTTCTTTTTCTTTTCTTTTTTCTTTCTTCTTTCTTATTTTTTCTTGATCTGCTTTTTTTCGTTTTTCTGGTTTTTTTTTGAAATTTCACCTTTTCTCCTTTTACTTTTCCCTGTTATTTCAATTTTTTTCTCCCATTCAACAATTTTCTTACAATGTATTCTTAATACTTGTTTATAGAATATGTTTCAGGTCATTATTGCTACTGTATTTGCAAACTGCTGTCTTGATTTTGTATTTAATAATTTTACTAGTTTGTCTTGTATTTCTTTTGGAATTAGGCCTTTTATTAGTATTTCTCTTGTTTTGATTTCTTCTGTTTCTGTTTTCCTAAAGAGTATTGTATATAATATATGTAAGGGAATTCAGATCTTTTCTTCTTCTTTTAATTTCTTCCATACTGTTGTAATGATCACTTTTTGGATTCTCTTCCAAAGATTTCTTTGTCCCTTGCATACTGTTAGGTGTGGTTACATCTCTTTTACTTTATCTTGGCATACTTGGTATTTTACCATTATATATATATCTGACCTTTTTCTGTTAAGTTCTTCTAAAATTGAAAGTTTATCTATTATATACTTGATGAATACACTTCTTTTGACATTATTTCTTTTTGTTATACAATATATTCTCTTAGTCATCTTTAGTCTTTTTCAAAAATAAGTTTAATTATAAATTGTAATTTCTAATTCTGGCTCTAAATCTTTAACTGCTCTCATTTCTTTTCACTCTGCACCTAGTCTTGTATTCATTATAAACTTACAAAGCAGTCTTGCTAGTATGTTAGTTTGTCTATTTTTCCATTCTAAACAGTACTCTATCTCTTTACATCTAACTTTCTCGACCTGTACTATTTCTTTATTCATTGTCTCTTTCTTTACTAAACTATCTGCTTTATTATTTCACTTGTTTTTACTATGATTTTTCACTTTAATTAAATCTATCTGAATATTTTTTGTCTTGACAAGGTCTCTAATCTTCATTAATCATATTGCATTCTTTTTTTTAATAATCTTACTAGGACCCCGGATAATACTAATAGAGGTACGAGTTGAGTTAATAGTAAATTTTCAGGTATTTTGTCTACTCTAAACATCCTATTTTTGCCCATTTTAAGCCCTGTATATTTCGATTTACAATTTATATGCCCGATTTAATTATATAACCTAATGCATGTTTTTTCAAAAAGTATTGTGCTATGAAAATCATTCTTAGCTGTTAGTGTACTACAAAATTACGTAAATACTTTTTACATGACAGAGATTTATAATTTTTTTTATCTATTCTATTTTTGAACTACAAATTTAATAGAGATTCGAACATGGTTCTTAAGCACCTCAATAAATCGGAAACAAATTTTTAATGGTCAGAAATTGAATAAATTAACCAAGTGAGTTGCCATTTTGATAAACAGATCAATAAACTATTAGTCACCTTTTTTCTTCAAAAATTTATTATTGATAAAGATTGCTTAAGCATTAATTTTATATTTTTTACATGAATTCTCAACAAATTTCTAACCGATTTAAAAAAAAAATAGCTACTTTAATTTTATACTCAAAGTTTTTAAAGCAAATAATCGATACATTGATATGAACATAATAAATGCAACTCATCTTTTAACTTTAATCAAACTATAATAAATACTACTTTTTCGTTTTTCGTTTACCTAAATTTAAAAATTTTTCAGCGAAGACGATCTAAAAACTGAAGGATTTTGGGTATATATTTTTCCTATATTTAACGGATAATAAATATTATAACTTTTTTCGAATATATTTTCATATTACCTATCAGTGTAAAATAGCAACTGCAGAATTACTATAGATTGCCTATAAAAATTTTTTTTAAAAAATTTATTTCTTGTTTCTGCAAAGAAATTTTTGCTAAATGACTCTATAAGTTGATTCTGTTACTGTTGCAACAAAATTTTAATTGGTAAAATAATTAAAAGGTAAAGCCAATAAAACTGAAGTTTTGGCAACTAGGTTGAATAAAAATTTTTTCTATTAGGTTTTTTAGGAGGCTTATGAAAAATAGAAAGAGTATGCTCAAGCATTTAATTCTATAAATGTCGTCATTGATTGTGATGCTTAAGCATTATCATGATCATTATTTAATTAATTGATTGAGATGCTTGAGCATGATCATTATTTGTTAATAACATTAATTTAGCTAATAATATAATTATTTTTATATGCATTGAAATAAAATGTGATTATAAGTACTATTTAATTAACCATTTTAAAATTTTTATTGTAAAAATAAATTTGCAGATTCAAATTAAATTTTAAAAAATTTATAAATCCTTATAAAATCTCATGCCGATCGTTACATAGTCATTTGAATTAATTCAAGTAAAATTAGATGAGTATTTTAACTACTTCGATTGATAAATTTTTTTAAAAAAAATTTGATAAAATGACCGTGAATAAAAAATTAAATGTGAGGTAATAGCTTACCTTAAATTAAGTGCATTGATTGGCAAATAATTAAATTAAACTGACATAATAATCAAAAAAAGTATATTTCAAACTCATGCTAAACCATCAAAATCTGCCATAATAGCAGAATCGGCATAGAAAATCATTCTATTGATTTATTACACATTATTCATTAAATCTAATCCTTTTTTACTTCAGAATGAACAATAATTCGTAACAAATTCTTCGTAGAGCATTCATTAAAAAACCTATATAACTCTAAAGCTTTTCCAATAAGAGTTATCAAATTATGCTGCTCATCAACATGAATAAAATCACCAAATCCAAGAAAATAAATGAAAAACTTAGCATTAATATGACTAAAAACCATATATCCAGAATTAGCTAGAGGCGAAAAAATATTATTTCGAAGTGGAAAAAAAACCTTTACCGATAAGTAAGATAATGAATCTATATTAAACACATCATCACGCATATAAGAATGATAATTAGAATTCTTCTGATACAGTGCTAAAATTTGTACAAGACAAATTTCGTGATTAATATAAGAAAATCCATAACCATGCTTGTGAAGAGGATTATGTTCACTGATATTAGCAACAGTTATTCCGTTTAGATCTAAATTTTAAAATAATTTATTAAATAAGCATTAAAACTATTTTTATAATTTATTACTCGTAATTTATTACTCACCAACTTTTTTATTTGTACTTGATAATACAGATAGACGACAACAATTTTTCCACTGAATTCCACGTAATTTCTCAGTCTGTGATATTTCAATATTTGATATACGATTTGCAATTAGACTACTTATCATATTTGGAGAAACAGCATTTATATGATTAAAATTCTGAATTCTACAAATAGTCTTTCGCTCCATATCCTGGTTACTATAACATTTATGATTTTTTTGTAAGTTAACTAAGTAAGAAATATCTAAAGTTCCTGCTTCAGTAATGCCAGTATAAAAGTTTTCACATGTCTCTAAATCATGAATATTTGAAAAATTTGCATTTGACAATAAAAAAGTTAACTCAGAACGTGCATCTCTTAAATCATTTTCAATATCATCATCACGGATCTCTATAGTATTAGAATCAGCTACAGTGTTTGCTACCATAGCAATTGCATGTGAATCTAATATTTCATTGCTTTGGATCGAATCATTAAAATAGTCAAAAAAATCATCATTTTCATCATCCGACTGGTTTGATCACCCATTAGAAATATTTAAAAAACCATAAATTTCTTCATTCTGATTAACCATTGAAAGAACTTTTGCCAAATCACAAGCTTGTTGATACCCCTCATGAACAGCACAAAGCAAATCTTCATCTGAAGGCCATTGATGTAATATATTAATTGTTTCTGCAAGCGTTCCAGTATTATAATGTGTGATATAGCCTAATAAAATAAATTAAAGATTTAATTATAATTAATAAAATAATATTTAAATCATACAAGTAGCAAAACAATAGCGTGAAATTCGGCGATCTTGTGATCTCTGAGACAAATAAGCCGAAAACGTTATACACTAAACTGAGGACTTGTAATTGGGCTATTAAGATTCGATATCATTATTATATTCTTAAACTTTTTCAATTAGATAAAAGTTATATATAGGCCCGATTTAGATCTAGTCTCAAAAATCATGGGACTGCCAAATTTTTGCGCTATTACTTTGCTAGCTTTATGCTTACCAACACCAGAAGTTTTATCTTTAATCACTTCATTTAAAGTGCCATTCATATATGCCTTATACATATATGATACTTTTGGAACCATTTATAGTAAATCGGAAAATGTAAATTCATTATTAATTTGTCGACACAACCCAAAAAAGTGCTCGCATCCTTCAGATCCGTGAAGCCATAGTAATAATGGATATGAATTATAAAAATCACGATATGATATAATTAGGAGAATCTAACAATAAATTAAAGCATTAATACAGTAATATTTTGTAAACTTCAGAAAATTAGCAGATACATATTTATTATTCTTACTAATGATTTTGCTAAACTTGTCAAAATATTAAATGTTTGTGTTGCAAGAAAATTTTTTTCAAGACTAATATAATTAGGATTAGCTAATCCAACCGATGCAATATATGATTTCCAAATGATAAGAAAAAAATATGCCATCATAGCCATTCGAGCTCTTTCTAAATGTGAAATCGTTCTGTTTTGATATGCGTCAATTAACTCGCCTAACCAAATATTAAAGTTTTTTTAAATTTTAACAAATTGTTAAAATATTAATATGAATACATTAGTAACTTACCAATTACAAACAAATAAACAAAAAGTCCATATCGAATAGTTTTAGGAGTATTTGAATTTATAACTTGATTAAGAAGTGAAGAACAGAAAAGACGATAGCTAGCGCCATCATCTTGGCGATCACAATTAATAACGTCCTTTTTATACAAAACGCTATCATCTTGTTCACACATATCAAACACTTGATCATACGTTGCTTTATAATGTCCCAAAGTAAGTAATCGTGCTCCAGAAAATAGTGCATTTCATGCAGATTTTCGGGCATGTAATGGATCAGAAACTTGAATTACCAGTCCTACTCCAGGAAAAATTAAACAAGTGAAGTTTATATTATATATTGGATCATTAAAACTCTTTGTCAGTCCAGTATTTTTAGACATTAAATGCTTTTGAGCATTAAATTCTGAAATAGCACCGTCGGCTCCTATAGAAACTATGTGAATCAAAAGTTGTCGAGCTAACTCCAGCACTTTTTCATGCATTTTTAATATTTGTGTAGATGTTTCATTTCCATTATTTGGAACCAACCCGATTATGACTGGTGGAAATTTTGGTAAAGGTATCTTAAATTTGAAAATTAGTTTAATCATTTTTTTAAAAAATAAAAATAGATAAATGAATAAAAATAAAATAAATAAATAAATAAATAAAATAGAGAAAGTAAATAAGTAATAGCCAAAAAAACCAAACTTTACATATTTTTATTTATAATTCACCAAACTATTATTTAAAAACTGAGTTTAGTAAATTATAAATTCAAAGCTCTATAAATACTTACTTGAAGTAAATACAAACGAACTTGCTTTGCTATTGCATTGTTCGAAATTATATTTTGAATAACTGATTCTGCTTCATTATAATCATTAACCATTGTTTGGTCAAGCGAAAAAACAGAACCAATAATACATCCAAGATTTGCGAAATAGCCAAGATGGGGATAAACTTTAGTATTATCTGTCATTGCAATAACTGGCCCTTTATAGTTCAAAGAATCGGCTAATCTTTTAAAGCGTGCCATATTTTCTAAATATATACTTGTGTCAGACATACATTCGCCAGATTTTTGATGCAAGAGCCTATATAAGAAATATTTTAATTATATATTATATAATCTACGACCTTAAAAATTTTAATATCATAAATAAAATAACAATTTAATACCTAATGTTTCATAATGTTTGTCCTGCCAAATTGGCTTGAAAAAAATCATATGCTTTTGGGCTTAGGCTGGAAAGTACAGCCGTAAAATGGGTAACATCTTCAGAATATTTTAAATTTTGGATGCCTTTGCTATGATCTTCACATTGAGCTATTTTCATCATTATTTCACATAGTCCTTTAAATATAGTTTTTGATTCAAATGCTCCATTTAAACCTTTCTCAGCTAATTTTAACCAAAATGGCACTGAGTTATTTTCATTGGTATTAGAAATTGAAGTCCAGAGTTCTTTTATATGTAGATTTCTAAGAAATTTCAAAATCAGATTATTTCTAAAATAAAATTTTGGTGTGAAGCGTCGATTTTCTGGTTTCGGCATGGGTTTAGAAAGTGCATTCTAGAAGATATATAATTAATAAATAAATATGAATATAAATCAAAAAAAAACAAAAAAAGAGTCAAATAATCAAAATTTACCTTAAAAACTGGATCCTTTGTAAGTAAGATACATTTCGCGCATAATCGTTCAATTTGGTCAGTATATATTTCACACACTGAACTACGTATGCATAAACATTTTTGATCAATCTTCCACTTAGACCTTGCTGATAGTTCATCGTTAAGTCTTTTTGATTGATTGAAACTAAGTTTAGAATAAGAAAATTTTGTATTTTCTGTAAACTTGTCTGGAAAAAGTTCTTGTGCTACTATTTTGACAAGTGGAGCTCCACCAGATACTGCAAAACCACCAACTCGTTCAATATATTTAAGATGCTTCTCTTTACATAATCCAGAACATGGATATCTTTTATGTGATGGTTCATTTTGAGAATTAGAATCTGCGAAGAATTTCCTCAAATCTTGAAATCCCTTGTTCTTAATACATTTGTTATTAGACACATGAGATTCAATTCGTGACTTATCATAGTTTCTTTTTAGTTTAATTGGTTTTCTGCAATGTTTGCATCGTACACATAGTGGACTCAAAATTTCGAGTACATCTGGATGATTGGCCAACTCTGCTTGCTAAAATATAAAATTAAATTAGATAGATATTAATATAAATAACATATTTGATACTATTCTTACCTTTTCTAAAGTAGTTTTTAAATTCATTCCACGATGTCGTTTTTTTTTAAATATATGTTCTTGAGAAACAACCGATTCATGCTCATCATCTGTTGTTTCATAGTTATCGGATGTTTCATAATAGTCTGGCAATTCATTATCAGACTGTGAAAATTCAGTTGGAGTAAACAATAATTCTAAATCCATCAAGAAAATTTAACCACAACAATAAGTTGTCTATTTAACTACAGAATCCTTTGATTACAAATCTTTTTTTTTTTTTTCTTTTTTTTTTTCTTTTTTTTTTCTTTTTTTTTCTTTTTTTTTTTTTCTTTTTTTTTTTTTTTAACTACGGCGAAGCTTCTGACTACGGTGAAAGCTCTAAATACAGAGTTTTGATTTTTGACTCTGGCAAGCTTCTTAGCTTCAGAAGGTTTCTTATTAAGGCGAAACTTTAATTATACAAAATTCTTTACTGCTAAACCTTTAATCACTTATAATTTTTGTTCGCAACAACGTCTTGGCTGCAGAAAAACTTCTGGCCACAAAACTTCCATGGAAAAGCTTTTGATACTACTAGAGCAAGTTGTGAAACTTTAAAGTTTCATAGCGAAATTTGAATATTTATTACAAATTATCTAGCCAATCATAAGAGAATTTGATGCCCAGATGTAATTTTGCCTACATTAAGCTTAATGCGGGCCAAAATTTGAAATAATACTCCTGATTATTAAATCAGATATGGATTTTTTTAAAATATTAGATATTTGTTTCAATAAAAATGTATCCACTTTTAGGTACACAACCTTATTTTACTAATCCTGGTTTTATAATACTAGATTTATTCAAAAAGCCTTTTTAGTAATATAACTTCTAAAAATAATTTAAGAATTCTTGTCTGGTTTAATAATACTACCCTTATTAGTATTATCCGGGGTCCTATCTTACTTCTGTCTGCTTGTTCTAGACTTCTATTGAAGTTTCTAATTGCAGCATTATTATCTGTATATAACTCTATTTGCTTTTCTATAGGTATTGTTAAAATCGCTACCCAGATTGCTACCAATTCTGTTGTTATTGATGTTTGCCATCCTTCTAATCCAAATACTAACTCTTCTTTTGGTCATTCTTGTGTTTCATTTGTTTGGACCTATCCAATACCCATATTGTTCTTAAACAATAGTTCTTTACTATTCTTCCTATTGGCTATGTCTTTAGTATATATTATATATTTATTCTTGTTTCTCATAATGTTTCTTTTTAGAACTTTTGTTATTTCTCGACTAATATTCTCTTCCAGTTTTTGTTGTTTAATGATTTCAACTTCTAGTTCTTCTATTATTGCAAGTCCTTTTAATTTGTATTCACTTATTTTTGATCTATTTTTTTCTGCCTTATCTGTTATTTGGTCTATTGTTATTTTGATTTGATTACTACCCTTATTTATTAATCTATCTGGAATTACATTAATGTTTTTATTTAATCTTATCCATTGCTAGCAACTTTTTTTATTTGTTCTTCTTTGCTTATACATTCTTCATATCTGTTGATTTCAGTTGCTACATCATTCTCTTTGCACTTCATTAGCCAGTATTCGATTAGTGCTTTCTTCTTTTTCTTTTTGATCACTTTTCCAAGCTGTCTGTGATTTTGTATATCATATATGATCTACTCCTTTCTTCTTCTATCTTCTGATATATGCACTTATTTGACTTGTATTGTCTAAATATTTTGTTCACTTGTTCTAAAGTATCTTTGCATTACTCTATTCTTTGGGCTACTGAATACTTTTGATTCCATTGCTTTGAACTATTTTACTTTTTTCTCTTTATTTGATTGGACTTGATAATCTTTTAATTGTTACTATGTAATTAGTTTTTCTCCCTTTGTATCTAGTAGTTGGTTCAGATATATTAGCTCAGCTTCATTTACTCTAACTGCTTCTTTTTTTCACAATTATGTATCTACTATATCTTGTATTTTAGTATCATATCCAAGCATTATTTATAACTCATTTTTTGTTTTAATGTTTATTTTTAGTTTCCTTACTTTAAGTATTATAAGACATGCCAAGTTATTCTTTAAATATATTTAATTTCTGGTTGCTCCTCAGTCTTTTATATATCTTTTATTAAACCTGCTCTTTGACAGCCTTGTGTTATTCTTAGCCTTGTTAGTTGTCCAAGACCATCTTGTCTGTTTAGTCTTGCCAAGAGGCTACTCACTTGCTTCATAATTAACTCTTGTTACAATGTTCTACAACTGCCAAAATCTTTATATTCTATTACACAGTTTTCTACTGTTCTTTGCAGATTGCTTTTTTGTTTTGCCAGACTTATTATTGGTTGATGTATTTCCTTTAGACTTCTGTCTAACTTCTTTGTTAGTAGTAACATATAGCTTAGTTTGAATATTATTACCATATTGTTTATATATGCAATCTGACTCATTGTTATTTTTTTGTATTTAAGATCACTTATACTTTGGTTTACTATTCCTTTTGCCTTCTTCTTTACTTGTATCTCTCGTATTTCATTGTTTAACCAGATTCTCAATGAACAAACTATTTTGTATCTTGGTTTTTCTATTATCTTGCTTTTTCTATATATTACTGCTCTTTCTTCTTTTTGAACTTTTGTGTTCATTGTTAATAATTTTGACTTTGATCCATTTATCTCTATATT